ACACACACACACACACACACACATTCTAGAAAATAACCCTACTCAATAAAATAAAATATGTAGAAGTGAAATGCACTCTCAATAAAATGGCTCAATTTACAGAAAATGCTAGACTAACATTTAAATAGTAATTTGTTGTTTGGAATAAACAGGCATTCAAAATTATGTAGGAATTAGGCTTCGGAGTTCTACTATCAGGTTAGCATTCAAATGTTTTACACTTTGGCAAAACAAGGGCATCATATTGCATTTGGTAAGCATACCAGTTTCACTGAAACTGAATTTAGACAATTCAGTGAAACTGACCTTTTTTAAAAAATTCCTTGCAACGTGTAATTATCTTAAGTAGATAGCCTCCGTTTGAATTTTATTTTAATTAATATTTAATTAATGTTTGTTCCCACCATCTTTTTTAAGCAATCCAGATTTCAAACCTAGTCATGTTAGATTATTATATAATTCTCATTCAATATGATGCATATATTGGCTGTGGAGTAGTTTGCTTTTCCAGGTGTTCATCTGATTAAGAATTACTTTTTAAAAAAATCAAAGTATAAGTATCAAAAGCCATGTAATCCATCTTTTCCTGGAACAATCCAGTTTTTAACTTTTGGGTTTGTATTTGAAAGATTTCTGTTGTGATCGCTATTCCTTTCATTGCTTTTCATAAAATTATTTCCTCTAACTATCTTGAACTGTTGTGTTCTTTATCATTTTCCCACAAAGGATTCTAATATTCCATGGTTTCTTCTTCATTAGGACTGTTAAGTGCTGTTTTTCTTGGACGTATTTCATATTTTCTGTCACGATTTGTTGTCTTCTTTTTTCATATATTTTTTTATTAAAGATTTCTTTTAAAAAGATGATAAAGCTTATGCAAACTAATATAAAGTGAGAAAAAGAAAAGAAATAAAAGAGAATGCTAGAAAGACTTCCAAGGTCACTTCCAGCTCTGTTCTGATTAGAAAAAGAGGAAAAAGAAAAATATGGGGGGGGGGGGGAGATATGAAGAAGTAGTTTCCAATCTTTAAAGTAGTTATAAGTACAATTATAAATTTACTACTTTCTCTATGGTTACAACATAACTTTCTTCTTTCTATAATCTTTTGTTTTCTTGCTTCTTTTGAAGTAATAGTCTTGGGTCCAGCAGTATATCATTTTATAAGGCTAAATATTTTAATGGAGCCTTGATTTTGATTCGTCAGACTGCTCAAATCTGCTGAAAGTTCTTTTGACTTTCTGTTGTAGGCAAATTTTCCATTTTGCTTTGCTTTTTATAAAGGCATTTATCTTCCTTATTTTCAAACAAAATCCTGTTGTTGCAACATCAGGAGTGGTGTACAAGAGTTGCTTTTGTTTTACAAATTCTGCTGGAATTGCTTTGATTCCCATGATAATGTCCTTGTAAAAATTTAGCTAGACTTGGTCTTTGCTTTAGTGGTGGTAATTGTAATCTTTCTGGTTGTTTCATCTGACCTACCACTGAATAACTCAGATTAAGGCTGTGAACGCATATCTAATGGTTTAATCATAAGCTTTTTTTAAGATAAAGAAACCACACTCCATGCAAAACTGTGTGGTGTGTATTCCTCTATACTGAACCATATTTAAAAACATTTTATATAACAAAGAGGTTGTGAAAGTGAGATTAAGTAATCGACAATGCTTTGTAATGTATATTTTACACATTTTGGGGCAAAATGGTTAAAAGTGTTACCTTGTTAATTACTTCCTGTTTGCTTTCCTTTTAGTTCCCATCATTGTAGGTTACCTATTTAGTGAACCATCTAATCCAGTATAATAGCTTTTTAACCTTAACCTTAGAAAGACTACTGTAAAGATTTCATAATAAATGAGGTGATCCCATTGGAACATTGTATAGAGATGCTCGGCTTAACTGGGAGATGGTGTCAAGCAAGAAAGATCAAGTTCATACATGAATCCAATTAAACTTATTTATTGCTACTGACCTATGCACAGGCATATTTTTAACTAACAAGCAAGGGTCAACATAATTCAATTGGACTTAGTTCACTTGTGGCTATGTAGAGATTACAGGCTGATTCCTCTTTTAACTCCGCCCCCAGGTTCCATCACTCCTTCTCATATCCTCTGGTATACCCTGAGGCAGAACCATAATTCCACATTATTATTCTAGCATTAGGAAGCGGTGGCTCAGTGGCTAAAACACTGAGCTTGTTGATCGAAAGGTCGACAGTTCAGCGGTTNAGTTAATGGTTGAGACTAGCTGTAAATAATGTGAATATATGGTCACTTCGACTTCATGGTACTGCATTGTTTTAAATGTAAAAATAATAAAAAAATATTAAAAAAATAAAATAAAGAATAATTTATAAACTCATAAATAAGAATTGACTATTAAAAGTTTCACCAAACATGAAAAAAAATTGAGCTTGTTGCTTGGTGTCCTCTCACCGTATGTTTATCATATATGTCATACATTACAGATAAACTACTCTTGTAGTCAATCCCCTGCCTCATATCATCTTTGACAAATGGTTGTCCAACCTTTGTTTGAAAAGATTGATTGATGAAAACTTCTAACTGCAGAAGACAAGTGGTTCCAATGCTTTCAAGTGCTCTCACATCGCCACTCATACAAGTGTCCTTTTATGAGGACAGATCCATAAGAAGTCTCAAATGATAAAGGACTCATGTATGTATATCTGGGAATTTTGCAATTCCAAAGGACCTCCAATTATAAGAGAAGTCCAATTATGTTATTATGCATTTAAAAGCCATTCCCAGCCCAGAAATTCATTCTTCCATATGCAAAAAAAGTCTGAAGTTTGCCACAAGCAAACACTGGATACATAGCACAGATGAGCAATGATAACAAAAAAACCAATAACAAGATGGTTTTCAACAAGGATTTATTTTCCTCTGCTTTCGGGAAATAAGCTACCATTTCATTTGTGATAAACATTGGAATAATTTTATCTAGCAGATTAAGTGCACACACAGAGAGAAAAATAAAGAGAAATAATTTCTAGAAACTTTTGCTTAGCTTTTATAAAGGAAAAGAAAACTTCGTTAAAAAAAATTGCATTTAAATAGAAAACCTAAATACCCAAACTGATCAGTTACCCTCCAGATGAATTTATCTGAAATTGCTGTTACTTTTAGCTGGCAGGCTCAATGATTTTGTGTTGGCTGAGTAGGATGTGACTAGTCAAATACATCTAGAGGGAAAAGGCTTGAAAAGATTGTCTTAAAGGAATTATAATGAATGAATATAATAAAAAAGAATGTCAACATCAAGTGATAATTCTATTAATTGCCTTTTATAACACTCTTTATCCAACGAGAATATTCTTTTGTCAGAAGGGTGTAGACACCAGGATAACATTCACATCCACATCGTATACCAAACGAAACGATGCCTCTTTGTTCCCCTTTGCACATCAAAGGACCACCAGAATCACCCTGCACAAGGGAGAAAAAGGGGTGGGTGGGGAGAAGAGGTTTTTTGCATTATTCCAATAGTCATATTTAATTTATTTATTCATCAAATCTCTATTTTGCCCATATGACTGATACAACGTTTCCAACTTTCCAATTTTGGCTGACTGGGAGGGCCTCCTGCAAGTGCCTCATTCAGGTGACTGGAGAAAGGGGGCCAGAGGATGCTTTCTCAGTAGACGCCCCTTCACTCTAGTATACTTTGACTTCCAAGGCCAGAATTGGAGAAATATGCCCATCCTTGTCACAGAATCAACCTTCTTCCCTGAAGCATGTAAAAAAGTTGCAGGACTTTGATTGCCTAGTTTTGGTTTCCATATTTACTTTTCTTCATACTCTGTAGCCCCCTCTACATATATACTTGTCTGTTCTGTCCCCCCTTCTCCGCTCGTTAAACAGATGACAGGCAAACAACTTAAAAGGAACTCTCTTTATCAGTTCTCAGCTCAGACTGGCTGCGAGCCCAAAAATAACATAAATACAGTCTCTGACGAGAACGCAATGCACTTCTCCAAGTGTATCCTTGAATCAGGGTTACAGAAAACAAATCACTTCTCTAAGTGTAGCTTACATAAACCACGACCAATGATCAA